CTATTGTGTTGCTTCCAATTGGCCCAGAAGACATAATATTCTTATTAATAATGCATTCAGATAAAGGAGATGCAACTACTTCATACAACATCTGTTTATATTTTCCAATTCTTTTTTAAATTTTATTATTTTTTGTGTGTGTACCATCAAATCGGGTCTGACTGGTATAAGAGGAGATTGCCCTTCCTTCTCCAACAGACCATCTGGTGGATTCGAACTGTGCACCTCTGAAATTGCAGTGCTGCTTCTTGCCACTAGGCCAACAGCGCTCCCTTATATTTTCCAATTATTATTCAGACTGTCACCTTAGTCCCATCAGTTGTTGCATTCCCATATCCCCTTAATACAATTTTAAACCCTTTCAAGAAAGACCAAAAAGTTTGGAGATTATAGAACCTCGGACTCCTGTGTCCAGAAGCCCCAAGAAAGTTTCTTCTCCAGCTTTAGGCCATTTTACCCACATATCTGCATTATGCAGATGACACAACCCTGCTCGCTGAAACTGAGGAGGACCTCATTCACTTACTGCAGAGGGTCAAGGACTACAGCCTTCAGTATGGACTGAGGCGCAATGTCAAGAAGACAAAGATTCTCACCACTGGACCAATCGGTAGCATCAGGGTGGATGGCGAAGAGACTGAGATTGTTCACAGCTTCAGTTTGCTTGGCTCCATGGTCAACACTCTTGGCACCAGCAGCCAGGAAATCAAAAAACGTACTGCGATGGGAAAGTCTGCGGTTAGGGACCTCTCTAAAGTACTGAAGAGCAATGGTGTCTCTCTGGAGACTAAGGTTCGCCTGATACAGGCCATGGTTTTTGCAATCACTTGTTATGCATCAGAGAGTTGGACAATGACTAGGGAGGCTAGAAGGAGAATTGATGCCTTTGAGTTGTGGTGCTAGAGAAGAGTATTGAATATACCATGGACTGCCAAGAAAACAAACAGATTCATCCTAGAGAAGATTAAACCAGGCTACTCCCTGGAGGCAAGGATTCTGGGGCTTCGTCTGACACACTTTGGACATGTTGTAAGGAGAGACAGGTCCTTGGAGAGGGACATCATGCTGGGTAGAGTAGAGGGACAGCACAGGAGGGGAAGACCCTCTATGAGATGGATTGATTCAGTGACTGGGGTACTCGGGATGGGTGTGTCAGAGGCAATGTGACTGGCACAGGACAGAGCAGGGTTTAGGGCTGTTGTGTATAGGGTCGCTATGAGTCGGCACATAACAACAACAACATGTGCATATGAACTCTGATCCTCTGCAGGGGGTTAGGACAGAAGATACTGGCCTTCTCATCAAAGTATATCTTGATCAATTAGCTGAGCTTCTGCTTCAAAAGTATATCTGGGGCAGGGCAGGGGGGGGTTGTATATTAATGAAGGAATTTTTCTTTTACTTTTCAAAGAGAATAACAAACTGGGGGAAGCAGTGGCAGGCAGAAAAGTGCAACAATGAATGAATGGAAATTCAAAATCTCTGTAAATGTTCATTAAAATTAATAAAAATAAAAAATTTTTTAAAAAGTATATCTGACATGAACAACAATGTATACAAACTTTATAAATAAACCAGTATTTTTTTTAAAAAGTATATAAACTCATAGAATCTCAGTGCTGGCATTCTTTTGGTACCCTCTCTCTCCTGGGATGCAGCATCCAGATGCACCACAACTTTCAGCCTGTGGGATCCTGGCCCATACTCACCAGTCAACATCGGCCAGCGAAACCTACAGTCGAGTAAGTACTTTCCTTGACATGTTTGAGTTTTGGTGAGACCTTCTAGCAAACTACAGAACCTAAGGGACAAAGAGGAGTGGGGGAACTAAACAGAAGGAACAACTGATGTCAGAAATCATGGAGTGGCATAGCAGATCTAACATGTGGGACATTATTCCTTCTACCTTTCAGTAACAAGTCTGCTATTCATTTTAGCAGAGTGGATTGTAAACGCACTACGGTAGAATTGAACTCAGAGTTGACCCCCAGGCGGGTCTTCAGAGGCAGTTAATCACACAGGAAGAAATTGCCCATCCTTCCCCTGCAGAATAGCTGGTGGCCTCAAACCATGTGCCTTTGGGATTGCAGCATAGTTCCTTGCCAGTAAGCCACCAGAGTTTACACAACATAAAAGCTTAATAAAAATGTTTGCCCATGTGCCATCTAAAATATTTTCAAGTAACTGAAAATTCACCTTATAAACTTTGGGAAACACTTCTCTGATGTTGTAAGTAGCTAAGTGATGATATAAGCAAGAGGATATAACAGTCACAAGTGTTTTTAAAGAAATCTGGAAAAAAAACCCCAAGAACTCAGGGTAATGTGAAGGGAGTTGAAAAAAAAGAGACAAAGTACAGTTAGGAAGCTATTGCAGTGGGACAGCCCAGAGATCATAAGAATATTCATTATTGAGAGATTTGATGGGGGTAGTAAAAGCAAAGTGAATGTGAGGGGTTTAGCTTACCACATTAGATACTAATAATTCTAATAACATCTGGGGAGTCTTAGAGGAGCATATAGAGAGAAGATGTGTTTTATTTTGAACATGTGAGTTTAAAGTTCTCTATGACACATTGAAATGATAATGTCCAATAGCCAGAAAAGAGATATAAGGCTCAAAACAAGTTAGCAACGAAGCAGATCTGAGTAGAGTTGAAGCCATTATGCAGGTTAAAGAGTAAAGGACATAACTCAAGCTCTGAATAGGTTTAGAAAAGGGATAAAGAGCTAAGCAAGCTCCCTTTTCCCAGCAGAACAATCTTGTTTCTACCATCCCCAAAAAATGACTAATGAAGAAGTCTTTTTTTAATGTACATGTGAGAGAAAAGGTAATTTATTCTGGATCTCTTCTGATACATAGGTTTCAATAAAGAATCAATCTGGCTCACTAGACAAAATTCTATTTTTAATGTATAAAGTTATACATAGAAAATACATATAAAATATTGAAAAGATAAGAAGAAAATTTAATCCCAAATGGACATATCAGGAAACAATTTTTTTCAAGTTCTTTGGGATCTTATTCATTAGTATTAAGAAAAATTAGCCCAGAAAACCCAATAAAAAGTTCTTCCACAATTCATATCTCTTAACACTTCTTCCCAGAGAAAGGAGTAAGAGAGAAATAGGAGGGTTTATGACTAGCAACAACAACAAAATAGAAACACTTATTTACTAATGCTATTCGGTAATTCTACTCCAATCCCACTTGTGCTTCATAGAGATGTTGTTGCTGTTGTGTGTCATCAACTCAAAACTGTCTCAAAGCTGAACCTCCAGAGGTTTCAGAGGCTATAAACGGGAAAGGAGGAGATGGCCTATCATTTTCCCTCGAAGCAGATGGTGGATTCAAATCTCTTGCCCTAAGGTTGAGAACACAATTTCTTACAGCTAGGCTACCAGAGCTTCCTTCATGGGGATGACACTGAAATAATGTCAAAGAAACTTCTTTCAAGCACAAATACAACTACATCTGTATTCCTTTATGCCTAATCCCCTGTGTTCTGATTGCCATGATGATTTAAAAGGGAGGAAAATTGCCTTTAAAATTTTCCCCATATCTGATTCAATAGAGCAAACTGAGACCTATCTCCTAATCTATTTCTAAAAGCACATCCTGTAAAACTGTTAAATGAAAAGTCCAACTGCAGGTACATTAAATCTCCCATGCTCAGTTTTTAAAATGCACTTAGCAATATAGTTCATAGAAAGAACACAAACAAGGGGGAAATACAAGGAGAATTTCCAGGAGATAGATATACCACAGAATTAAAACACCAAGAGCTGTTCATTGATTCTCTTTCTCTCCCTGCAGCCTCCTAAGCTTCCAATTTTTGTTGTTTACCATTGAATTGGAACCAACCCCTAGTTGACTCTGCAGGAGGTTTACAACAGCAGTAAATCACATGGGAGGAGACTGCCCATCTTTCTCCAGGGAAGAGATGGTGAATTCGAACTCTATTAGGCTACTTGTAATATGAAAGGCTCATCTAATTTTCCTGATCAACTCATGTTCTAATAATATACGTGGAGGAGGAGTAAAACATTAAAAGCAAACAAGAATCTAAGTCAGGTACACCTACGGTAGTAGGTAGCAGCAACTTGGTAGGAGTGAGAGGAACATGGACTTACCAAGTAGGACAGATAATATTTCCACAGGGTAAAACAATGGGAAGAGAAGGTGAAGGAACATCTAAATACAGGTCTTGAATAAGCTAGGTGGGCAGTGGAAAATGAGTGACAAGGAAATTTTTAAAGCAAAGCACTTTAACTTTGATTCTCTTCTATAGCACGGTGTAACACCTGGAAATCTGGAATACTGTTATGTACACCCAGGAGCAAAGTCCCAGGGACTGTGCTTATAATTCTCGTTCCTGGGAAGTTTCTTAGGAGTTATGTGAAAACAAGAAACTAGATAATAAGGTAAGCCTCAATAATAATGAAGCCTAAAAACACACACACAAAAAGAAAAGAGTAGTTTTGTAGTAGTGGTGATGAAGTCTAAACTGGGGAAGATCTAATTTCAGGAGCAACAACAGGGTACCAACTGAAACACGCAGCTAAAGACATACCAAAGCCACAGACTTCATATTCATACTCTGTTCGAATCTTAGAGAAAGTTAAGAATGAGGGTGAGCGCAGGGCACAGAGCTTATTCAGGCTCCTTACTATTTTGACAGATGAAAATGTGAACATTCATTTTGTGCTACTGAAATCACTATACAGAGTTAATCTGGGAGTGTCAGAGCCAGCAATGTTTTAAAGACAATCTTCTTATAAATTGGAGTTAGGATGTTTCAAATGAAACTACATCCCAAAACTGGAAATAAGAAATGGGGTTTCTTAGCAAATAGGAATCCAACTGTAAAATTTATACATACATATATTTATATTTAAAAGTATAAAATTGAGAAACTATGTACAGAAATCATCCTAAGTCTTAAAAAGGAGACATATAAAAAAGGACCAGGAGAGGACGGGATGTCTGTGAGCGGAAGCCTAGCAGTTGGAGGAATGCATATTGCCCAACTGCCCAGCAGCGAGCATGAGAATATCTTTCTTTTCCTTGTGGAAACGCAGCTCCTTGCCTGCCAGCCGGGCTTCATCCAGCTCTCGCTCGGTGGAGGCCAGCTCTCTAGACAGTGCTCCTGGCACACTCTGCTCCCGGCTCACCCAGTCCAACGCCATTTGGTGGCGAATATCATCATCCAGTGCTCGATGTGAATAATGTGCCAGCACTTCCTGGTGGGGGAGGAGAATGTGAAGATCACTAACAAGGTAAAGGTTCATGATCACACAGACCCATGGGCTAAGAACTCATTAACCTTGGAGTCCTAACTGAAATCAACACTCACAGCCTCTAAAGTTCAATCTTAAATAAGGTAGGCAGATTTTCACAGTGAAGATTTTAACAGGAAAGTTATAGAAATGGTAAGGGTACTTCAGTAAGACTTCCAATTTTGCAACCTGGTAACGACAGGCCTGTATATCTCTAAGACAGCAGGATCTTTTTCAAAACAGCCCTCTGCCAGACACCCCCTCATCTATCTCCTTACCTGCCGAGAGCACTGTCTTTCCCTCATGGCTTTAAGGCTGCCATTCCAGTGCAATAGTTGAAAAACTGTCATTAGCTCCTGGGGAAAGAAGATATGAAGTGCCAAGTGATTTTAAAGTAGGAGAATGTATGAGAATTACAAGGGGAGCCCTTTTACAAAATGTGTCTGGGAAAGCATTTCTCATTACCAAGGCTGATCTGATGTTGGGAGAAGGAACATGTTTACAAGCTCAAAAATATTTTAATGTGACCTGCTCTCCCTTCCCAATTGAGTCTCAATGAATTGTGAGTTGTGGTGTTGGTGACAAATATTGAATATACTATGAGTTGCCAAAAAAATACAAATCTATCTGGGAAGAAGTAAGAATGATTCTTAAAAACAAGGATGATGAGACTTAATTGCACATACTTTGGACATGTTTCAGGAAGACCATCCAAAAATGACTGGAATAGTACATGAGAACTATCAAAAATACAAGCCGAGTTTAAAAGAGACTGTGGCCCTAGGGACATCAATTCCAATGTCAGATGGATCTTGGCCAAAAGCAGGAGAGTACCAGAGAAATGTATATCTGTGTTCCATTTACTATGCACAGGCATTGACTAAGTGGATCACAACAAATTGTGGCTAACCTTGAGAAGAATGGGAATCCCAGAACATCTGATTGTGCTCATGTGAAACCTACACTTAGACGAGGAAGCAGTCATCAGAACAAAGCAAGGAAGCACTTCACTTCACTTCAAAATCAGGAAAGGAATGCATCAGGGATGCATCTTGTCTCCACACCTTTTCAATCTATATATAGAACAGATCATTCGGGAGGCAGAACTTTATGAGGAAGAATGTGACATCAGGACTGGAGGAAGACTCATCAACAACCTGCATCATGCAGATGACACAACCTTGCTTGCTGAAACTGAGGAGGGCCTGAAGAATTTGCTGCAGAGGGTCAAGGACTGTAGTGTACAATATGGATTGAAGCTCAGTATCAAGAAAATGAAGATTCTTACCACTGGGCCAATTGGTAGCACCAAGACGGAGAAGAGATTGAGATTGTTAACAATTTCATTTTGCTTGGTTCCACAATCAACACTCTTGGCACCAGCAGTCAGGAAATCAAAAGATGAACTGCATTAGGAAAATCTGCTGTCAGGGATCTCTCCAGGGTGCTGAAGAGCAATGATATCAGTCTAGAGACTAAGGTGTGCTGGATCTTCACTAAGCTGTGTCATAATCTTCACAATTACTTGCTAGGCATCAGAGAGCTGGACAATGACAGGAGAATTATTGATGCTTTTAAATTGTGGTCTGGAGAAGAGTATTGAACATACATACCATGGACTGCCAAGAGAAAAAAACAGGTCTGTCTCGGAGATGGTGAAACCAAGATGTTCCTTGGAGGCAAGGATTTTTGAGGCTCCATCTAACACACTTTGAGCATGTTTCCAGGAGGGACCAGTCCTTAGAGAAAGACATCATGCTTGGAAGGGTGGGACAGCAGTAGAGGAAGATCCCAGATGAGATGGATTGACACATAACTGGGGTAATCAGGGTAGGTGTGTCAGAGACAGTGAGACTGGCTCAGGATGGGTCATGGTTCAGAGCTAATGTGCATACGGTCTCTGTAAGTCACAGTAGTCTCAATGGCACATAAGAACACGTAGGAAAAGCAGAGGGTTAATTTAAAGAGAGGAGGACCTTTGAAGTGATGAACTGACACAATGACTGCAACTATGGTTTTATGCACAGGTAGAGATTGAGAGGATGGTGCAGGATCCAGCGGGATTTTGTTCTATTTTACATGGGTTTGCATGAGTGGGAGCCAACTCAAAGGCATCTGACAGCAACAATGGAGAAGTAACCATTTCTCTGGGAATACCAGAACTAAACTTAAAATACAGGAAGTATAGAAATTTAAAAAAAATTAAATCCTCATTAAATTCAAAAGGCACCTATTGTTAGACAACAACAGCTTAATTAGATGAAAAGTATCAGATAGTGAAAGTGAGAATGAAGACAAAGATTTCTAGACATGGACATTAAGGAAGAGGTAGAATGGTTTACTGTTCCAATGAAATCCACCTCTTAGAGGGAATCAGGGCACAAATAATTTTTTTGGAATATATTTGTATAGTTATTTATTGATCAGAAAGGACTTTTATGTAAGCAATCCTGAATAGAGTTACAGCCTGTGGTTCCTAGGCTAAAGGAAGCAGAGAACTAAAGGGATTGGAACACTACAATAAGATAAAGGTAAACAACGCAATTGAAAAATGGGCACAGGACATGAACACACACTTCACCAAAGAAGACATTCAGATGGCAAACAAACACATGAAGAAGTGTTCAAAATCCCTAGCTCTAAGAGAGATACAAAGTGAAACAAGTATGAGATACCATCTCACCCCAGTAAGCCTAGCAAAATTTAACAGAACAGCTAACAACAAATGCTGACGAGGTTTTAGAGAAACTGGAACCCTCATTCACTGTTGGTGGGAGTGTAAAATGGTGCAACCACTGTGGAAGGCCATGTGGCGCTTTCTCAGAAAGTTGCAGAGATACCATTTGACCCAGCAATTCCACTACTGAGCATAGACACCCAAGGAAACCATAACCGCCATCCAAGCAGATATATGCACACTCATGTTTATCGCAGCTTTATTCACAATATCAAAGAGTTGGAAACAACCTAAGTGCCCATCTGATGAATGGATAGAGAAGTTGTAGTATATTCACACAATTGAATACTACACTGCATTGAAAAACAAGAAACTCATGAAATATTATTCAAAATGGGTGAACCTGGAGGACATTATGCTGAGTGAAATATCTCAGTCACAAAAGGATAAATACTGCATAGTGCCACTATTGTAAAACGGGATTGACAAAGGGGTTGGGAGGGAGACTGAGAAAGATGGGATAAATTATGTATACTGCATTGAAACAGATGAGAGAAAGAACTGTTTAATAGGTATATATGATTAGGTATTATTGTCATGACATGAGTCCAGAAGGAAGGCTGCATAGTGGAGTGAACTTGGGGGGAGGGATTGTATAACAATGAAACAATTTTTCTTTCACTTTTCAAATAGAAGAACAAACTGGAGGGGAGGGGTGGGCAGGGAGAAAAGTGCAACAATGAATGAATGAGAATCCAAAATCTCTGTAAATTTTCATTATAATTAGTAATAATAATAATAATAATAATAATAATAATAATAATAATAATAATAAAGGGATTGGGAAGAATGGCTTTAATGGGGGTTAAAAGTACAGGTCATGGAAGCAAGCTGACCCAGGTGATTAGAATCAGGTAAGTTGGTGGAACAATACCTGGAACTCCAACATTGACTTGCCCTTGTTAGATTCCAACATGAATCGGAAGGCACCAATCCCTGTATTTGGGTTGTCAGCCTCCTCCCTGTTGCCCTGGTAACAGAGGAAAGAAAAAGACAAATAGGTTTTTAATCAGGACTTTTATTACCTAGAGCAGTGATATCCAAATGGGATCTGATGAAGCTGTATATATCAAGTTTTCTAGTAGTCATATTAAAATAAAAACAAATAAGTTAAATTAATTTTAATAGTCTATTCTATTTAACTTAGAATAGTCAAAATATTATTCCAACCTTATATAAAAAACAGGGTAGGATGGTGGTCTAGTGGTAAAAGAGAAGCACTGCTAACCGAAGGTGGGCTGTTCAAATTCACCAGCTGTTGTGCAGGAGAAAGATGGCAAATTTCCTCCCATGCAATTTAGAACCTCTGAAGCCCGCCTAAGGGTCAGTTATGAGTTGGTTCCAACTTGATGTAAATAAGTATGTATGAATATGTGTATACTAAAAATGATGAAATATTTGACATTTATACACACATACACATATGTTTGTTATATGCAGTAGCACAAAAGGAGATTGTCTTATCTTTCTCCCAAGGAGTGGCTGGTAGATCTGAACCACCTGTCTTTGGATTGACAGCACAACTCTTTACCCACTAGGACACCAGGTTTGATGCCTACTTACACAGGCCAAATCCTTCTGATACGAGATGTGGTTTTGTGCCATTTGATGGTCATTTATCCTTCTGCCTTAAATATTATTCGTCATAATTTTGTATCTAAAACAGATGTGTCTCCTAGTTTTATGGTAACCCTTTTGCCAACCTGAACTAGGCAAATAGGGCCATTGGGGCCAATACTAGTACCCAGCTTCTTCCTGCTTCCTGAGAAATTGTCAGTTCTGCACATCCGCCCCATCTGCAAGGGCTGGAAATTCCAAAAGGATTTCAGGGATGAATGGCATGGAATTCCATGGTTGCCTGATAAGAAGGACCCCCACCCTGGGACTACTTTAGACTGCTGGCCTCTGGAACTAGAAAGTAAATGTCTGTCCTTTAAAGCCAACCAACTGTAGTGGGGTTTTGTGGTTTACTTTTATTTTAAAATTGTGATTTCTTTAGCAGTGCTAGGTAAATAAGACATCCTTGATATATGGAATCAAACACCCCAGAAGACTCATATTTATGGACTTCCATCACATTACATTAAAAAAGTCTTCATTTATTTCCTGAAATAAATTTGAAGGATATTTTCTGTTACTTATATCTAAGGGTTATATATCTATATATTAAAGATAAGTTAGGTATTTAAATATATTATGTCTTTTATCCTCATAATAACCATATTCAATAAGTATAGTTTTTATCATATTTTCTAGATAAGGAAACACATTTAGATCAAATAACTTGCTTAAAAACACATGATTAGTAAAACCATATGTCAAACAATGAATCCAGAGTGTATCCTCATAATCATTAGATATCCTCCTTCCTATAATCCAAAATAATGCTTCATTTTGTAATAGGTGACTTAGGGGAACTCTGGTAGTTGCCCTACAAACATAATGGCAAGAGGTTTAAATCTACTAGCTGCTCCAGGAAGAAAGATGGGCAATAACCTCCCATGTGATTTACAGCTTCTGCAAACACGCTGGAGAGTCAGTTATGAGCTGGTGCTGATTTGATGGCAATAAGTTCTTGGGGTTTTTTTTGTTGGTTTTTTTTTTGTTTTACTTTTTAAATTTATTACTATTTTATTTTTTTGTGAGTGTACCGTCAAATCAAATCTGATTGGTACAGGAGGAGATTGTCCCTCCTTCCCCGGCAGAGCATCTGGTGGATTCGAACCGTGCACCTCTGGGATTGTAGTTGCAGCTCCTTGCCACTAGGCCACCAGAGCTCCCCCAAAATGTTTGATAATTGTGTACATGTGATCAACTAAAACTGCTGAAACCCGGGAATGAACCAGGCAATAAGTTCTTAAGAAGTGACTTAAGAAAATTAAATATGCTTTCTTGAACTAGGCAACTTGTTGACTGTGGAAAAGACCATCAGCTACTCATGTTCAAGTTCAAACTGAAGCTAAAGAAAATGAAAATAAATCCACAAGAACAAAATATAACCTTGAATCTACCCCACTTGAATTTAAAAGCCATTTCAAGGATGAATTTGAGGCCTTAAACAATAGTAAATAAATGATGACCAAATGAGCTATGGGATGATATCAAGAATATCATCCATGAAGAAAACAAAAAGGGTCATCATAAAGACAGAGGAGGAAGAAAAGACCAAGATGGATGTCAGATGAGACTCTGAATATTGCACTAGAGTGCCGAAAAGCCAAAGAAAAGGGAAGAAATCAAGAAGTTAAGACGCTGAACAGAAGATTGAAAAGAGTAGCTCCAGAAGTCAAAGTATTATAATGAAATGTACAAAGAACTGGAGTCAGAAAATAAAAAAGGACTAATTAGCTCAGCATTTCTTAAGCTGAAGGAACTGAAGAAGAAATTCAAACCTCAAGTTGCAACACTTAAAGATGCTATGGACAAACAGAATATTGAATGATCTAGGAAGCATCTAAAGATGATGAAAGGAGTACACAAAGCCACTGTATTAGAAGAAAATAAATTGGCTGACACAGAACAATACCATGATCTAGCATATAATCAATAACCAATGGTAATAAAGAAGGAGATTTCTTCTGCTTTGAAGGAATTGGGAAAAAATGAGGCCTCAGGAATTAATGGAATACCAATTGACATTTTTCAACAAAAGATGCAGCCCTGGATCCACTCACTAGGTGGTGCCAAGAAATTTGGAGGAGAGCTACCTGGCCAACTGACTGGAGGAGATTCATATTTACTCCCATTCCCAAAAAAAAGGTAATCCAACAGAGTGTGAAAATTATAGAACAATTATTGATTACAAATATCAAATGCAAGCAAAATCCTGCGGAAGATTATCTGTAAATGACTAGAACAGCACCTTGACAAAGAACTGCCAGCAATTCAAATTGGATTTAGAAGAGGGTATGGCATCAGGGATATCATTACTAATGTCAGATGGATCTTTCAGAAAGCAGAGAATGCCAGAGGATTGTCCGTTTGTGTTTTCTTGACTACGCAAAGGCATTTGACTGTGTGGATCACAATGAATTTTGTCTTACTCTGAGAAGAACGGGAATCCCAGAACATTTGATTGTGCTCATTCGAAATCTATACTTTGACCAAGAAGCAGTCATCAGAACAGAGCAAGGAAACACTGCCTGGTTCAAAATCAAGAAAGAAGTGTGCCAGGGCTGCATCCTTTACTTCATACTTTTTCAATCTATACGTGGGACAGATCATTTGGGAGGCTAGCCTGTATGATGAAGAATGTGGCAGCAGGATTGGAAGATGACTTATCAAAAATCTGTGTTACGCAGACACAAACTTGCTTGCTGAAGCTGAGGAGGTCTTGAAGCATTTGATGCTGAAGCTCAAGTTTTCAATACAGACTGCATTTCCTCACAAAGAAAACAAAGGATTCTCAACATTATTTCAATTAGCAGCATCATGATAGATGGGGACAAGATTGAGGTTGTTGACAATTCTATCTTGCTTGGGTCCACAATCAACACTTTCGGCCTCAACTATCAGAAAAATCAAAAGATGAGTTGCCTTAGGAAAGCTGTTGGGACGGGACCTCTCTATAGTGCTAAAGAACAATGAAGTCAATCTAGAGACTAAGATGCTCCTGATACAGGACATGGTCTTCTCAATTGCTTGCAGTGCATCTGATAGTTGGACAATGACTAAGGATGACAGAAGAATCACTATCTTTGAGTTGTGGTGCTGGTGAAGAGTATGGAATATATATCATGGACTGCCAAAAGAATAAGCAGATCTGTCCTGGAGAAGGTGAAACCTGGTTGCTCCTTGAAGTCAACTGTCTCATATACTTTGGACATGTTGTCAGGAGGGATCAGTCCTTGGAGCAAGACATCTTGCTAGGAAGAGTAGAGGGTCAGCGCAGGAGAAGAAGACAGTTATGAGGTGGATTGACACAATGACTATGGCAAAGGGGCAGGTTTGTTAGAGATGATGAATTAGGCTCAGAATAGGGCAAGGTTTCGAGCCGTTGTTCATAGGGCCACTGTGAATCGTAGTCAACTAGACGGCACATAACACCAACAACAATAATTGTAATATCATTTTTAAACAATAGTTTAAATTTCCTTTATTAATAAAAAAAATAAAAGAAAAACAGATGAGTCTTAGCAGAGGAAAGCCAATCTGTGATTTTTAAATGGTTAACACTTATTTCAAATCAGATTACTGAAACAATTTATGTAGTTAAATCTTCCACAACAATTAAACTCTTAGCTGCTAACTGAAAGGCTGTTGATTCAAATCTACCCATTGACTTCTTAGGAGAAAAGTTTAAAGGTCTATTACCTTAAAGACAGCAGCCTAGAGGACCCTATGAAGTAGTTCTATTGTATTACAGGGGGCTGGTTGCTATTCTAATTGGTCGCACATAACAACAACAACAACAGTTATACTTCAACCAACAACTAAAAGAAAACAAATAAAAAACAAAAATTTGTCTAATTTCATCACATCAATTAATTTGTAGGAAGGGAGAAAGGCTATTCTCATTTTCTAAGATGTGGTGGTGGTTCACTCACTCACTCATCACCATCAAGTGAGAACCTGTAAGTGACCCTCCACCAAGTTTTCAGAGGCTGTAATGACAGGAGAGGAGAATGTCCTTCTTGTTCTGTGCAGCTAGTGGATTACAACATGCCTTTGGGTTGTCAGTGCAACTCCTTGCCATTAGGCATCAGAACTCCCTTTTGTTGTGGTTAAGTGCCATCAAGCTAAGTATGAATCACAGTGACCCTATGAGCAACAGATCTGAGTCCCATACTATTCTGTGCCATCCTTATCAACTCTGACACACTTGAGCCCATTGATGCACTCACTGTGTCAATCCATTTCATTAGGGTGTGTGTGTGGGGGGGGGGTTGTGCGCGCACGCTTGCGTGCATGTTCCTCTCTTATGCTGATCCTCCATCTTTCCAAGCATAATGTCCCTTTCCAAGGAATAGC